TGTGCTCATAAACCGATGAATTCAATTATTTAAATTTCCGTCATTTTCGAGCTCACGCAAGGCAGATGCAAATAAAACGTTCAGTTCAGAAGTTTATTTTGTCTGTCAGAGACTAAACAAGCAACCTTCATCACTATAGAGGGCGCTTTTCAAACAGAGCGATGCATGAATGATTGTGTTCTGATTACAGCGCTCATTATCTGTTGAGCTTCCCTGAAGTTCGGATGCGTTTTGAGAAATATCGATGATATTAATGAAATGGACAAAATTCTGATATCTTGATGACTGAAAAATGCAGGTCGGCAAAGTGTAAACCTAGCTACATTCTTCTGGCAATAAATGGAATGTTCCAGTAGTGCTTGTACATTTAAGCCCCGTACTAGCTGGGGGACGAACAGGGCTATGTCCCAACCCATCCTCCAGAAAATGGAGTCTTTATTTTAATGATGACACAAAAGCGATCTTGGTGGACCGTTTCATTGCCCTTTATCACAAAGTTTGTCCAAACCAAAGCCCCGAAAGTAGTTCTCAGAAAGGCCATATAAGACATAAATTTTTTACTCTCTGCGCCCCCAACCCGCGAAAAAAATTGCTCCCCCCCCCCAAAAAAATTGGTCCGCCCTAGAAGCACCAAAGTGGCATGTGTGTTAACAGTTCATCATCATCTGAAGGGAACGAAAGTAGAATGAACTACCTAACTAGATTTGCTGGCCGTTCCGCCCGTAGTAATTTATGACCGCACAGGTCCAAAATAAAGAATTGCTATTTCATTTCTTTATTATTTCGCAGGTCAAATTTACAATGGATAAAACAAAATAAGTAGAGAAAAAAATTACATACAGTATAGACATAAAGAAGACAAAGTTAAAAGTATAACACCAAACCTTATAAAAAGACTAAGACCCAAACACCAAAATAGTTGCGTGCCCCTGCGGGATTACTAAAAAGTGAACTAAATCACTATCAAGTAGTTCTCACATAGCATGACTAAAAACCCTAAATTGCAAAATCACAAACATTTTAGCAGACTCACTTTACTAACACATTATCCCAAGGGCGTAGAGAGTAACCCTACAAAGTATTACAAAATCCTTAAGTTTATGTGATAATTCTAGGTATTACACCATATTAACAAGAAAAGCAAGGAAGACACCGCGATGGTAACTAAAAATCTAAAAACAAAACTCCCACAAAACAAACTCCAAAGAGACAGTCGACATGAAACAGATGACCCTACAGATGGAGAAACACAACCTCCGAAACATACAAGNCGTGCTCATAAACCGATGAATTCAATTATTTAAATTTCCGTCATTTTCGAGCTCACGCAAGGCAGATGCAAATAAAACTATCAGTTCAGAAGTTTATTTTGTCTGTCAGAGACTAAACAAGCAACCTTCATCATTATAGAGGGCGCTTTTCAAACAGAGCGATGCATGAATGATTGTGTTCTGATTACAGCGCACATTATCTGTTGAGCTTCCCTGAAGTTCGGATGCGTTTTGAGAAATATCGATGATATTAATGAAATGGACAAAATTCTGATATCTTGATGACTGAAAAATGCAGGTCGGCAAAGTGTAAACCTAGCTACATTCTTCTGGCAATAAATGGAATGTTCCAGTAGTGCTTGTACATTTAAGCCCCGTACTAGCTGGGGGACGAACGGGGCTATGTCCCAACCCATCCTCCAGAAAATGGAGTATTTATTTTAATGATGACACAAAAGCGATCTTGGTGGACCGTTTCATTGCCCTTTATCACAAAGTTTGTCCAAACCAAAGCCCCGAAAGTAGTTCTCAGAAAGGCCATATAAGACATAAATTTTTTACTCTCTGCGCCCCCAACCCGCGAAAAAAATTGCTCCGCCCTAGAAGCACCAAAGTGGCATATGTGTTAACAGTTCATCATCATCTGAAGGGAACGAAAGCAGAATGAACTACCTAACTAGATTTGCTTGCCGTTCCACCCGTAGTAATTTATGACCGCACAGGTCCAAAATAAAGAATTGCTATTTCATTTCATTTATTATTTCGCAGGTCAAATTTACAATGGATAAAACAAAATAAGAAGAGAAAAAAATACATACAGTATAGACATAAAGAAGACAAAGTTAAAAATATAACATCAAACCTTATAAAAAGACTAAGACCCAAACACCAAAATAGTTGCATGCCCCTGCGGGATTACTAAAAAGTGAACTAAATCACTATCAAGTAGTTATCCCATAACATGACTAAAAACCCAAACAATCACAAACATTTTAGCAGACTCACTTTACTAACACATAATCCCAAGGGCAAAGAGAGTAACCCTACAAAGTGTTACAAAATCCTTGAGTTTATGGGATAATTCTATGCATTGCACCATATTAACAAGAAAAGCAAGGAAAGACACCCCGATGGTAACTAACAATCTAAAAACAAAACAAAACTCCCACAAAACAAACTCCAAAGAAATAGTCGACAAGAAACAGATGACCCTACAGATGGAGAGACACAACCTCCGAAACATACAAGTAGTAGAAACAAGACAAACAAGACAAAACAAAAATGTAAGACAAAGGGAAGGACAATAAACTAAACACAGAGACAGACAGTCCGCCCACCCACAGACAGACAGAAAAAAGACAAACAACCCAACAAACAAACGTACAGACGATGAAACGACCCAGAAAACAAGCAACGACTGCACAAACATTCAAACACAAACCCCAAATGAAATAAACAAGCAGTTTATAAAAAAACAAACAAACAAACACGAGATTAAGAAAAAAATCATAAAACAGGGTTCAGGTTTTTAAAAGGTTGAGCAAAATCCCGTCTTTATAAGGGCTCAAGATGGCATGTGGTTCAGACCAGGAGTCAGCCAGTGTAGCCTCAGTTTGGCAATGAAAGTGTTGAGACCAAAGATCAGGCTATCTACAACGTCTGCGGGCAGGGTATCCCACAAATGGGGGAAATCTGACAAAAAGTGACTCATGAAAAGCTATAGTTCTAGAATAATGATGAATAAATTGAACATCATCAATGTGTCTAGAATTGAGATTGATATAGCTCTCTGATTCAATGTCGAATTTGTTATAGATACATTTGGCGACAAAGACGACTACCAAAACGTTCAGCCTATTTGTTAAGTAGGACAGACCCAGCTTGGAACAATGGGTCGAGTACTCTATATTATCCCAGCTAGAGTTGGACAAATGACATCTTGGGAGGCCCCAACAGGAACGAGTAAATCGCCTTTGAACTCCTTCCAGTAATGTTCGTTGGGAAAGAGAACTTGAGTACCAAACTGGGGCAGCATACTTGAGAACAGGTCTGATAAGAGAGCGGTAAGGTGTGACAAGACTATAAGGGTCTTTGGAGTTACCAGTCTTCTAGTAAAACCAGGCGTCTTAGTAGCTTTTGAGACAATTGAATTAACATGATGACTCCAAGAAAGATCTCTGGAGATAACCAAATCAAGATATTTATACTGATCAACAAAATCCACGTTTTACGAATCAATCTGATAAGTGGGTCTATGAGGGATTCTGGAGCGAGTAATAGACATCAGTTTACATCTGTCGGCGTTAAGCTTCATACGATTAAGATTACACCAGGTAACTATACTGCAAAGAGCATTTTGTAACATGAGCTCATCATACTTGCTAAAGATGGTCCTATAAATCACAGTGTCGTCTGCGTACTGTCTTAAACTAGACTTTACACAAAAAGGTAAACCGAAGACAAAGATATTGAAGAGGAGTGGGCCCAAAACAGACCCTTGAGGGACCCCAGAGGGAACTGAAACCCAATCAGAGTATGACCCACAAAACTGAACTCGTTGCTGACGTCTCTGTGGGTAAGACTGGAACCACTGCAAAACAGAACCACACATGCCATATTTGTGCAACTTTTGTAAAAGGACACTGTGACTTGTACGATCAAAGGCCATCGACAAGTCCAAGTGTATGACATCGACTCTAGGTGGATTAGGGGTATCTAATGTTTTAGCCCAATCATGATAAACAGTCATTAATTGAGTAACACAAGATCTTTTTCAGTTGGAAGAAACCATGCTGACAGTCTGGTATAATACCACCCCTGTACATGTGATCAGTGCTATCTTTGTGATCATGTTGGTATTTAAAGTTTTAGCTACAATTAACAAATAGTACGTGATCTTAAAATAATAAGATATGATTCACTTGTTCCATTTGATACTAAAAGTTAGTTTGGTGTCATCGATGCACGTCAAAAGAGCCACCTGGTGGTCTCAAAGACTGAAACATCCAACAGTCGTCGATAACAGAGCCATCCCAAATCACCAGATGGTTTAGCCTCTGTCACACAAGACTGGTTACTAATTGAAATGCAAATAGGCTTTTAAAAACTGTTTCAAATTTTGCAGAAATTATTGATGAAAACGGAGGGATACTTTGGAGTCGCCAAACGCAAAGAGTGCATACACCTCCGTCTTTGTCAGAATTCATACACACGCCGTGTCCCCCTCTCTTAATTATTTTTGCAATCAACTTCTCAGAAAAAAGGTCGTCAGTAAGTTTGATTTGCAATCTTTTCCTATTCATCCTGGCGACGAGGAGGTTGGCGTATTAAAGTTAGGTAGGATAATTAGGTTCAGTCATGCATAGTGGATTACACTGCATATGCTAACCCGTGCTAAAGACGAGGTTTGCAAAAGTTTAAAATGTTTGATGCTTGAAACTATTTCAGCTTGACATCAAACTTACAACTAACTTACAACTACTTACAAGTAATTAACTCAAAAACGAAAAACAAACATTCAATTACAACACAGAATGCCCAATTAAGAAGTGACCTACCAGATAACTTAATATTCATAATCTTAAGCAAATCTTCACATTACAGTCATCGAGAACGAAAGATTAATAATACGAAGCAAGGGTGATTGAAGTAATGAATTGAAGTAATGTATTTCTTTAGAACTTACTTGCCCCACAGAGCACAGTTCAAAAATGAAGACACCCCCCCACCATATCCGAACAAAATTAAAGAACCTGCCGTCGTGATCCTGAATCTCTAGCCACGTGACACACAACGTACATAATGCTATCATACTCATAATTCGCGATAGGGTGGAAGACACTACGGCTATGCGTCATGGTCTGTGTTTGTAACTGGTGAAAATCTTAGTCCACGCTCAAGACAAAAGCCTCAAAAGGACTCAGCCTGAAATGAAACATCGGCCTTTTCGTGAAACAGTGCCATGAACTATGGACTTGAGCTCTTTGCTCATGCAGAATAAAACGCTGTTTGCCCATTGAAATAAGTCTTATTTCATGATGAGACTTCAGTCAAAGTCTCCGTCAAGGTCCACTTGACACTGTATGTGTATCGAATGCCTGCTCGTTGTGACCACAAACCAGTAAGCTAAACCGCCTTCGACAGCCAGCTTGGCCAGGCACCTTGCTAGCTATGCATCATTAAGACGTGTCTTACCGACGCATCAATAAGGATATGGGGGATGACGCTATAAATGATGCATCCGTCCTTGGGGAGGCAGACATCCCACCATCTCTGAGCTCATCATATTCCCGGCCTTGCCTGCTTCTTACATCCCCCAAAGGAGTCAGGAGCGACTTCCTTTGATAAATCAAGGGAGGATTATTCTCACGTGCGCGGCAGAACTACCACCTTGATGTCAAGTAGCAACGTTTCAAAACTCTGCCACCGGGCGTTCACTTTTCAAAACATTTATACCTGAACATCAATCTTTTAATAATCTTTAATAAATCCTATTCCTCATATGGAAGTGAGTTGATATTACGTCGAATAAATTTACGTATGGAGAATTATGCGGTGAAAAGAAAGAAGGAAAAAGGTGCCAACAGGAGGAATTATGTAGCCAACTGCTAACGAGCAAATCCCTACCACCGCACGAGACTAGCTATATATTTCTTGTCACTTCTGTTTTGCAGTGCTCAGCAAAGGAATCAATATTTAAAGACTCCGTGTTGAAGGAAAGAGGGTGCTCTGACACGGCCGCGGGCGGTACTGAGGGTGCATTTTGAAGTTGATGTGCTATAATCCTCCAACATTCTTAAATAGTGTAACCAGGGCCGGATGGGGGGGGCGTGGGGAATGCACACCCCCCTTTCACCAAATAATAATAATCAAAAAGAGAAGAAAAAGACGGAGGGGAAAGAAAAAATGGGGGGGGCTAGCCCCATAAATGTGGCAAGAGCGAAAAAGACAACAGTTCTGCTTCCAGTTACCCAACACCCCTAATTTTACGGCCACGACTCGAAAATGTTTAGTTCACGCCCCCACCCGGAAAATCCTGGATCCACCCCCCTTGGAAAATCCTGGATCCACCCCTAGTAGCATATCACCGTTCTAGACAGTGATGCATTTGGGGACCAGTAAAAAGACTAAAAGTATATCACAAAATATAATTATGATTAAATAATAGGATTACATACCAGGGAAGTGACTTAAACGTCTTTGACATGGGGGGGGACTCGAACTACGGCGAAGGGGTGGAATTATTTTGCCAGTGGCGAGCAGCACTTTGAATTGTGACTACTGAGCCACGAATCGGTTGAAAACGACTGACGTACTCCTTTAAGAATATTGTCATTTATATCGAAAGAAAAAACGTTTGAAGGAGTTAAAATGATTAATTACGAGTCTCAAATCCAACCTAAAGAAAGGCCACAATTAACACAAAGTAAAGTCGAATGTCATAATATAGAAGAAGAAGTAACAGAAAATAAAGAGCTCGGGAGCGGAAAGGTGTTTCCCTGCCCGGCCAGAATAACGTGACATTCACAGCTTTCTAGCCAAGGAAAAACAGCCATGAAAAATTAATTGGCAAGCTGCTCCGAGGCAGTTAGTTCCAGATCGAGCCGTTGGAGGGCAGGGCTAGAGCGACATTGATGTATCGACTCTGGGGGATTCAAGAGACAGAAAGTACGAAGGAGGGAAGAATAAGACACAAGTGGTTGTCAATTTCTATCCCTTCTTTACCAGATGGTCACTCTACAAGACTATAGCTGCACGTTTGTCGGAAACGAAGAGATCAGAGAAGAGCGCACGCGTAGCATGGGATGATTTGATCAACTCATGACAGGTGGCGCGGAAAAATACGAGTCAGCGACCGTAGAGATGTTCAAGCCGTTTTCTTGCCTATTTTCTCTTAACTATACTATTTCGATAACCTTTTAATATGGTGATACAGATGACGTCAGAACAGCTACTACCTGGTTTGCCTTCCTACGCTTCAAAAACTCGTGAATGCCCCGAGTCTTTGCACAATTATGTTTGGAGCCGGACGACTAAAGACAAAATTGCCGTCGGCCTGATGTGGTGAGTGCACGCACGTGCGAATTCTTCGGCAATCTTACCAGCCCTTACCAGCCCTTCATGAATTCCATCTCGGTGTTTTGACAAGCTCTCGCAGAACAGAGCAATTTACCGACTTAATGCTAAAAGCCGACTGCTACAGATTTCCAGTGTGAATATTTTGGATCACAGACCAAACTGACAAGGAAAGACTCCACACTTTACGGAACTGAACTTAGTCGAGTACCCTCCTGCCAGAATCACATTAAAAGTTGTTACCAAGAATTTCTGTTTCTTAAACTCGAAGTAACCGTGTATGCAAACTTCTGCTGACGGGTCAAAATGTGTCGATGGACGGTATGCCTCACCTTGCTAGCACTGCTAGAATGTATCCACCCAGGTAGGTAACTGACATTATAGTGATGCATTACTCGTAATTAAAGCGAGCATAAAATCAGAAAGTGGTCAAACCAATACTCCTTGTGTGTGCGTGAAATCAAACCACAAATATCTCAACAATGCGTAATTAAGTTCTGTAAATCGTGTCCAAGCAGAACTCTGTCATTGTGTGCACGGACGCATCTTTGCTGCAGGCATTTGGTACAGCCTGACTTACAGTTTGCGGATAGCATATATGTACTAAAGTTCTGGAACAATTCAGAAATATCACATTTACAATTTGGGTTGCAATAGAATTTTAAATCAATTTTTGGAAAATGCTTGAAAGAAACTTGATTGCCATTATAATTTAAAACCCCAGCTATGTGATATAAGTGTGGAAAAAATTCATTCGAGTTTGTCAGGGGAAAATTGCACCTGTTGAATACTGAAGAGCTTAATCAGCTAGAATTGCATCAACGACCACTGATTAATAAAATGACGCGTGCAAGCATCTCTATTCGCTATCTGTATTGACCGACATCTCCCTTTGCGCCTGTCAGGTTGTCCGCATCCAAGGAACTGTCCTGGATCAGCTCCAGATGAAGATGCATACGCCATGCTGCTTAAGACCTTGCTGAATGATTCAACCTATCCCGAGCATACCAGACCCACTAAGGACCGAACTAAACCTACGAAGGTGCAGTTTGGAATGGAGCTGAATGCCATCATTGATCTGGTAATTATGGTCAATTTTTATTATTTGAATTTGACAAAAACACACCCTGTTCAATTCCTGTAAACAGATCTGAATAGGCAAGTTGGTTCAATTAAGGTACAGACAAAAACTTTTCTCTTTACGCCTTGACTTGTTTGCATCCTAAACTCCGCTGAGACTCCTTCCGTGAGATTTCTTCACTGTTTGAGGAAAATGGTTGTAAAGTTTCACACAACATAATTCGTCGTGTATACATGTGTACTATATACCTCACAAAACCGTCACCTCCCCCCCCCCACGAGGCTATTGCTTATGCCATCACACACGGCTGATTCAGAAAATCACAAACTGGTGCATTTATTTTTAAGTCAGTGCAGTCCATTTCACACGAGATGCTAAGACTAGTTACTGTGTTCTGAGAGGATGTCATACCGTCTAGGATAAATAAGACAGGAAAATATTCAAATTGATATGGCATGATACTGGGCTTGAACCATGTTGAGGTATTTTATTTACAACAGATATGAAAACACGCAATTAACCAAAAGAAAACTCTTACTGCAGTGCTTTGACCTCTGCTTCTTACAGAATGAGCCGAAACAACTCTTGAAGACTCAAATCACTCTTATTTTAGTAAGTATATCATGTTATTATTTCTCAACAACTCACAATTTTTACCACGTGACTGAGGATTTTATTTACAAATGTACCGATGTTTCTGAATGGCTTCTGCGTCATGGAAGATCTGATTGGTCAAAGTGTCGTCCTTAAATGTACAGTTTTCCCCTGGGAGTAACAAGAGCATATCCCACTTCCAGTAAAACTTAAGAGACACACTTACCAGTTCCTCAAGCTGTGTAGATCTTTATTTATTCATCATTATGATATCATTATTAGTATGCGTAACGCATCACTGGCAATTCTGCATCTTGTAACTTAGCAAAACCGATATGAACACCGCTCTATCACTAGCCAGCTGAATTCATTGAAGCGTCTCGAAATGAAGACTAAAGCATGAAGAAAAGCAGAAGACTATGAAATGAAGGGAGGTGTCAATGAACTGATAGCAATAGTCATCAGAAGGGAAGGGACTCGGTCTCCTTTTTCGTAAGCTGTCGATTTCAGACATTTCATGTTTTTTTATTTGTATTTTTTTTAATTTCTTGTTTATTTGATTCAAATGATCGTCAATCGTTTTGGAACAACTTTGGAATAATTATATATCGGCTCGAAATTTCATTAGGTCTGTTTCCGTCATTTGTAAACATCGCCCTCTGTTGATTACACAAATTTGCAAAACCTGATTTTGGTTAGTCGCTTCCCTGATGTCAGTCGGATTCTTGTTGGAAATGCTGTATTTCTAGAAGAAAGAAATAACATGAGTTAAAGTTGAACCAAACGAACCAAGCAAGGCAAAGCGTTATGCCTACAGCCTTAGTTAAAACAAAATTACATCGTTAGTTATACAAACTGAAAATGACATAAATATTTGCTTGTAAACTTTTTCATGGAGGGCGCTGTATCAATGGTATCGTGGTCTCGATTTCGCAAATGTTCGCCGTCGATTTTCGAGTTTTTCCAACAATAGCAAGGTTCTACCTCACAAAGGAAAAGAAACGTTCTCAAATAAACTCGCTCATAAGAAGCGTAACATCTCATCACAAAAATTGGTCAGAGGATGCGCTGATATCCTTCATAAACTATTTTATCACAACTATAGGAATTCACGTTTGTTTTCAACGGAAAACCTTCACGTTAAATGAAGAGGAAAACGAATGCTCTAAGTACACGCTGGAACTGATTCAAATGAGGTGTTACCATAATCAGTTCATATCGTTACAATATCGCCATAATTCATGAAATAATTTGGACTTTTGGCGTGTTATTCATATAATATTCCCCCCTACGTCGTAAATATATATAAAAAAATCGAGATGAAGATTATAAGACATCTATCTTTTAAAGATGTCTTGCAATGGTTATAGATATCTTAAAATAATTGGAAATATCTTGAAGAAATGAGAGATATCATGAAATAATGAAAAGAATCCCTATTCGCCGGAATAAATTCTGCTTTTGCATGCCATGTAGAATAAAGTGTAGGCAGTTATTATTTTTTTTAATGAGTTCTCTGGTATAGGATCACAGTCACACTGCATTTATCGGAAATAAAAATTGAGTACAGGCGGTTTTGACCAGTTGTTTCGTTATTTTGAGTAAATAATCAAAGTAGGTTTACGTCTGCAATTTAAGCAACTTTTTGGAAAAGTTGATTTAACCACTTTAAAGGACGACATACGTTTCTCCTTTGACATGATTTCTTAATATTCACACAAGACTTAGTTCGTTTTGAGCTTTCAAGTTGAACACCATGACCTCAGTTTATTCAACAAAAGCTGCCAAAGCTACCTTCACTTTCACAACTGAGTGGGATTCATATTTTTAGTATACACATTTCCTGATCTAAACAAATTTTAATGAATGATTGACAGCTGGGTCTGTATCAGGGATTTTTTTCCGAAAGGAGAATTTTCATTTAAGTGTAAAAAAACTGGTTGTTCTTGATATAATGTTATGATAGATGTACCGGTATAATTTACAATAAAAAGTCCCGTGCACACACAGCCAAACTCCCTCGTTGTGAGCGCTCCAAAATGATTCTACACACTCATTTCGACAAATTAAAATAGTCACAGGCTCGTAATGGAAGGGCTATTTTTCACCTGTTCTGTACGACGAGAAGAGGGAGAGAGAAAAGAGAAAGGTCAAGAATCTGTAAATTTTCGGTGGACGAAAAGTTTCATTTGGGGGCAACACATAGATACAATTTATTTTTTTAAAAGATAATTTATGTAATATTAAATACAAAACAAATAGACAACATGAAACAGACGAAATGCAAATTTATTTAGCTGAGAAGCTGGTGTTTTTTGACACAGAAGCACATGAATGTTCTCGCACACAGTTTATTGATTGAATTAACAATAATGTGAAAGACATCAATTAATGTGTATTTTTGATTGGAACATATTTTTAAACATGACGTAAGTCTACTTCATGTTTTCACTAATCAATAAATAGAAAGATTATAACTCCCAAGGGAAAAACATTAATAATAAAAATCAAGAATGTTATTTTTTCGAATTGCTAGGAAATTGAGAAAAATAAGCTATTTGATACACCATTTTACTGCTTGGCTTTGTATCATGAAGATGAAAAAAGAAGAATTACACAATTAATAATAATTGAATACAACGAATGGTAACACATGACTCGACACTCAGAAAGTTTGTCATAAATATCATTTATTTCTCATTAAGTCAGAATTGTGCATATACAAGTTGTAAGTTTTGGTTTTAAGATTTTTGTTAGGGCAAAGAGTAAAGAACATCTAGAATGGATGGACCTAAAAATTTCTTTAAAAATTCATTTAAAATATGATCTTGATTGCTTGTTAATTTATTTTAAGTTTAAACGGACTGTTTTTTAAAGGTAGGACAAAGTTCGATTAATTTTTTTTTCAGAATTGGATTGATGAATATCTAATCTGGAAGGAAAGCGATTATGGGATCCCGGAAATAAGAATACCGTCTTCAAAGGTGTGGCTTCCTGACGTCACACTACGTAACAGGTGAGAAAGTAGAAAGATAGGGCGAGAAAAGGTCCTTGTATGTAGTGATGTTGATAGTGAAGGTGGTGAAAATAATAGGTAGGATGATTGTAATAATGGTGATTTGCTGATTACAGTGATAGAGAGATGTTAGTGACAGTGATAATGGTGAGAATGGAGACGAATTCAGTGGTTACAATGATGCTTACTCCAGGAAAACAATGAAACAAATTTCCTTTTTGGGCAGCACACCTTTAAAAGTATCCACTATTTCCTATCTTCCTGACTCTATCAATTAACCTCTTTAACATCAAACTGTTCTCTTTTCTTCCTGAATCTCTTGCCTGTATCCGCACTTTCTCAGTGCGGACAGCGTCAACTTCATGTTAGAGGATCGTTTAGTTCGAGTTAAGCCTAACGGAGAGACAGAATGGCGAGCCTTCATTGTCATCACCAGCTTCTGTAAGATCAACTTCGCTTTCTTCCCTTACGATGAGCAAAGCTGTCAGCTCAAATTCCGCGCCTGGACCTACCCGAAGGAACAAGTAGTCTTCGAGCCGGGGAAGGAATTTCATGTAAATCGAAAAAAAATAAGGATTTTGATTTTAATATCAGATAATTCATCTTACCGACGAGTGAAAGTGAAATTTGCGTTAAAAAGGGAAATTTTAAAAAGAAACAGGAATTGAGGCTGTTTGTAAATAACCACAGTATGGGCTTCCAACGTGGTCAGTAATTATGGGGTGCGTCTCGTGAGATCCGACTGGCGTCATACTGCGTAGCATGCCGGTAAAATGGCATCTAACTACGCCGCCTAAAAGCATGACTGCACGTCGATCCCAACTTGTCTGAATATGGTTATATGGAAAGAAAGAACTAAATTTGCCTTTTTTCCATTTAATGAAAACTTCTCTAGATTTATGTATCTACTGAATTTGAAGAAGCAAGTTGTCTTTCCCGTTTATACTAGAATGTCATCTACTCACATCCTAAGTTTTGTAGAAATCCTTTGGAAACGCAGTTACATCAGTTTAAAATGTATCCAACAAATAAAAACTGACTTAAATGAATATACTCATATTATCATGAACTCAGTGGATGAGACTGAACTGATACACCCACAAACATCCTATTTGACCCAAGGATGAGTTGTATTCTGGTGTTTGGTTCCCGTGGCTAAGCTTTGATTTTTACTCCTTTTAGCCATTTCCCGTCATTTGTTCATCCTGGTACCTCGGTTTCAATACTTGGTTTTCCCCAGGCCAACGACACGGAAGAACACGGTGAGTGGAAGATCATGGAAATGAAAGGCTCTGTGGAGGAATTCTCTGAGGATCACGGCAATTTTAGCGATTTCATCGTTAGCATCGCATTAATCAGACGACCCCAGTTCTATGTAATGAACATCATCGTGCCGTGCTTGATCATTTATTGCCTGACCCTATTCAGCTTTTGCCTGCCCTGTGACTCTGGCGAGAAGGTAAAAGAAAGACATACAACAACAACAAATATGTCACCACCCTTTCCTTGCCTGGCTCCTCTGATCAATTTGAACCGTCCTGAAAAAAACTCACAATTTCAGAAAAGTTATTATTTTTTGTAAAATACTAAGCAAATGAAAATTCAAGTGAATTCCCTGGATGCATCAGTAGTATATAGGAGTTCTTAAGACATTTATTCGTTAAATTTTGTTGCTTGCTTTTCGAACATTTTCCCTGCCTACTTCGTGACTTTCATAGTTTTATCGAGGATGACATCTTTCCCGACATTGCTCGGAAGCTTTTGAATTTGTTTACTTCAATCCCGTTTGAACCGCAAACCCAAAAAAATTATAATAATAAATAAAAATTTAAAAAATGAGATTTTACTGCATGAATTTGATTTTCTACACATTTTCTGATTAGCACAATTTGCCTTTTTAGATTAAGGGTTGATACTATTGCCATCGTTGGGCAAGTAATGAGACACACTAAACCGTCGACAAAGAAATTATCACAAAGGTGACTGTATC